CTGCCAGGTAACGGAGCCGTCGTGCCCTTTCCCCCGGGGCCGGCGGTCGAGCCCGCGTCCCGCAGCCCGCGGTGCGGTAACAGGGAACCCGTTTGTTCCAGGTCCGCAGGCGCAGCGAGGATGAACACGAACTTCTTGCATTTACTAAAAGCAAAAAAAGAAGTAAGTTGGTCAGAGACCGTCGGTTCTGTGATAACCCCCGGGGTGGGGGGGATGCCGGCGGGCTCCAGCAGGTGTGCGGGGGTTCCCGTTTAATAACGAGAGGAAATCCAGAGGGCAAGGGACGTGTGTGAGTTAAATTCATGAAAAGCGAGATGGTGCGAATAGTAATATAGAGGTAATATATCTTAACAGGTATATAACCTCAGTTCCTTGTTCCTTGTAACCCTATTCGTGGCTCTGTGGGCACGACGCTCGTTCTTCACGTCTTTTCTCCTTTTTATGTCTTTCAGCTCATTCCCCTGGTTGGAGTAGTGTCCTTTGCAGCAGCTGGGGCACTCTTTTTTTCTGCCTATTCCCTATTCAGCAAATCCGATGTGATGTAAGCAAAATACTTCTTGCTTGGTGTTTACCCTAACTTTTTGTCTTGAGAGGTTATTTGACCATCATGTTTTGCAACAAAAAAATCTGCCGGGATGTTCCAGACTACTAGTAACAACTAAGATAGCCTCAGACTGTAAATACTGAAGGAATTAATTAATTTGGAACATAGACCAAATTATTTCTTAACTTTTGATTTAATAATTATGTTTTTTTCTTTGCTTCAGTTGTAATAGGTTTTAAATGTTCTTACAAAGAATTTCAAATTACCACGAGTTGCAGATATGTTGCAACCAGGCTATTTACTTATATACAGCATTTAATAAAATTGATAAAATGAATTTACAATTAGTTAATATTTTAATGACTTGGCTAATAATTGGAACTAAGTCCTATACTTTTTAAGTTTGGGGGGAATTTTTATATTTACTATGAAGTGATTGGAACAGGCACTTCAGCTGTCAGGGTAGGAATCCCCATATTTCTTCTGTGTCTTTATTCAGTTTTGAATTTTTTATCTTGCTTCCCTTATAACACATTATACTTGAACAACGTTGGCCTGTTTGATTCTTTTGAAGCTGCAGATAAAGCAAGCCCTCGTTGATTCCTACCCAGAATTTAAAACAAAAATGTCCCAACCTGTAACTTGTGTTTCAGGGAATTACTACTGACAATAGACTGCTCATATAAGAAAAATGTATGCAAGTTCACACCCTAAAACATAGTACCTGTTTTGTTTTCTCTTCTCTTAAAGCATTAACAAGAGTGGCAATCCAGAACCATGGGAAACTCTTGATCCTAACAAGCCTCAGAAGGTAATTTGTACAAATAATACAGTCCGTGCAAATAGCATAGAGTTCCAACACAATAACTTTAGCTACGTGTGTAAGAACTAGCAAAATATTAATGAGGAAACAAATGTAAAGCTGACATACATCTATGTAAAAGTGGAACAAATTGCTTAACTCATTACTTTGTCATGTATCTTCCCTGTATTATGATAGGGATAACGATAGGGATTCAGCTATTACATTCTAGGTCTGATCCTGAATTTATGGTGTACTTCTGGCTGGAGCTCCCCGCCCCCCAACATCCATTTACTCAATTCCATTGATAACAGTGGAAATTTGGAGCATAGAGGAACTGCTGTTTACCCCTTGCCTTGTTCCTGAATTACAAAATTGACTAAGAATGTTTCTGAGTACTGCAGCCTGAAGGGAAAAAAAAATATTAGTTTAGTAGAGCATCTAAGATAAGGAAAAACTAAATTATTTGGCATTATTATTTATTTAATAGCCAAGTAATTTTGTTCAACATATTAAACATGTCATTGGTTGCTATTTTTGTTTATTTCTGAAAGGAAAATATAAAGCTGCTGGAAACCCTTCTTCACCAGTAAACTGATGTGTGATACTGGGGGTGGGAGTGGAGTAAATGCTAACTGAGATTTTTCTAATTTCTTTCATGTTTTCCTTTGAATTTCTTTCAGCTATTAACAGTCCATCAGAAATGGAAACCCATAGACGAGCTGGAAAATGTCAGAAAGCTTACGAAGTGACAAGTTTCTGTTGCCTCAAAAAGGTACCCTATGAATCTAGTGGAATCACTTCTGCACAAACTTGACTACTGAAATCAGTGTGCGGAAATGCTTCTGCTACATTTTTAGGGTCTCCCTACATTTTTTGGACTCTGGATGAGGAGTTACATGTTGCTTTAGAAGTTGGCATACAACATCCCCATAGTCCAAAAATCTGTCTCAAATATTCAGTAGGCATTTGATGTCAAATGTTGAATATTCAGATGGTAATTATAGATAGAAAAAGCCTTCACACTTTTTGTAGAATTTTGTTTTTATCAATACATGAATTTTGTAATTTTATAGATATTTTAAATTTGTAGAACATTCCATGTAAATTCCATAAATGGAGATTACCCAAAAGCCCTTATAAATTGGGATTCCTGGTCTCTATACTGTATTTCAGTGCTGTGTACAGACCAAATAGTGATCATAGCCAGAGGATGTCTTTGTATGGCAACATATGTGGTCATAAAGCATACTTGCATTTGTTTTCTATGTTAGATGTGATGTCAATTTACATCAAAACTATCGTCCTGCTGCTCATAAGGATTTACCTTAACCCGCTGAGGAGTTTGATAGGTTATTTAAGACTATATTTGAGACTGCAGAATTAGAACATAAAAATTAAGCATGGCTAAAAGGGAATCGGAAATTAGATAATTTCCATAGTATTTAAGTATTGTTCATGTTTAAATTTAGAAAAAGTTACTACAATTAGGAAACTTGCGTTATCCAAAACTGATTACATAGTGTTAATTTCTTTTTTTTTTTTTTTTTGCCAAGGTAGTTCATGTGCAAGCTCAAATGTACTGCACAGTTAATATTTTTAAACATTTCTATATATCTGCTGTTAGGGACATCTGCTTTAACAAAGAGAAAATAACAGATTAAGATTAGGAATAATTCTGTGAAGAGACAGTTCCTCTTTAAGTATCTCTGTGTTTTCTTACGAATTGGCCACTGAAAGAATGTAATGGGCAGACCCCCAGTAAATTAATGAGGCAATATATGCATCCAATGGTAGAACAGTCCTTTTTTGGATATTTTCTGTATGTGTCCCCTTCCAAGCAGTTTCACAATATATTATGCAGTTTCTTTTACAATGGATGTTCTGAAGGCATATTACTTTCTGTGAGGAAGAAAGCAAAAGTGAAACAACTGCTAACTGGAAAAAGTCCCCCTAAGTGAGTAATAGCAAAGTGCTTTAGGTTACTCAGCTGCAGCAAAGACAAAGCTTTACTAAAGCTGCCTCTCAGATTTTAAGGGAGTTCAGCTTCAGAAGCTGTTTTCTTCAGATTTATTGATGCTGAGGAAAAAAAAAAAGTGTCAAAATGTTTTTTTTTTTATCCCATGCTTGTGCACAGATGCAACATAAATATTTGTTTATCGAGTAAGGATGACTCAGCAGCATTTATGTTTAAGAGTGAGAGAAACTACGAGACTTCAGAATATGTTCTTAGCTTTCATTTTAAGAAATGACATTGCAAGATGATTGGATAGCACACAACCACAAAAATCCAGTGCTCTGAGGAATACACGTTTTGGGTATTTTACTAGAGAAATATTTTAAAATATTTTCTGTAAGTTATTCTGTATTTCCATATTTTTACTGGACTTTCAAACAAAACAAAAAGTGTTGTGCTCTGACTTGATGCATGAAATAAATGAGTTTATTCTTCAGTAAATCACTTGTATGGTCTGTAAATATTATGACCTAAGTATCTGTCAGCATTAGGGAAATAAGTGTAAGTAATTTCTACATAATTTCTGTACTTAACGACTGGTGGTGTCTTCCAGTAGCTGGTTAAGCAGTGTGACTGCCATCAGTCACAGGTTGTTGGCTTCTCTCATCCTGTCCTGAAATATAATAGCTAAGATAATAGAATGTTTTGTTTTGTTAGCTGCTCTTTTTTTTTTAAAAAAATATAGATTTATGGGGAGGGTTTTCAATGTGAGAAATATTTTTCTGCACTTTAGAAAGATTACAAATGTTGTTAAAGTTCTTGGGACAATTTTGTGTGTTCTCAGACTGTCCCTGAAAATATTCTCTATTCTGCATAGATGAGGGCATTTTTCTTCGAAGTAGAGCACACCAAGAGCAGTTACCATATCTCCCCTTGCAACTACTCCACATAAATCTATAAAGCAATATACAGATTATTTCGTTGTTGGACAGACATCAGAGTTAAGACAGTTGAGGTTTAATTGGCTAAACTTTATGAGCTGACTTGTATGAGAACAATAAGACTTACATGTCCTGTGTTATGCAAACCCCATGACTTGTTATTCAATGGACAATTTAGAGGCCATCGAAATAATTTAACAACTTTCTTCCTTCTCTCTATTTTGTCTCATCCATTCTGTCTTGGTTTTAGTTTTGGTCTGGTGGCTTGGGGTTTTTAAAAAAAAAAAAAAAATCATATTTGCTCACCCTGTCTAGTACTTTTCCATTGAACTATATCACTTCCAACTTTCAAATTGATTACAAAGTTTTATTAAAATGCCCACCAGCTTGTTAGATTTTTAAGTATGGGTTAGAAACTGTAAGAACTGTTTTGTAATGGCTCTAATCCCCATTAGAAATGCGTCATTAAAATCTATGGTCATCTTTTTCTAACTGCAGGTGACAAGTGATTTATATGTAGAATAGCTTTCTGGAAGAATAGAAGGTTGCTTTCTGCAGTATACATACAATAATTAATTACTAATTTTTGTTATTACGGTAGTACTTACAGGCCTTAACCACAGATCTTGTATCATTGTGGTTATCCAAAAGCAGTGTGGTGTTTTTCATTTGGTTGTCTTTGCATATGATAGGCCTGGTGACAGCATTTCTCTGTGTGATGTCCCCTGGCCCTGTATTTCTCTACTGCAAGGTGCTGTTAGTATAGTACTGTACTATCTAGTTACTTCATTGGCGTGTGTGGTTTCTCTAGAAACTAGTAACTTACTGAGGAGCTTGACGCAATCATTGGAGGAAATTGTTCAGCCTGTGGTTGTCATCTGTCTCAGTGCGGAGGGTTGTTGTCCCTAGGACTAGCTGTAGAAAACAAACAAGAGTAATGGGAATGATTCACTGGATCTGGCCCAGTATTTGGTGTTGGACATTTCCCAAAAAAGCTTTCAGATTAAACAAACATGACCATGCTGCTCAGCAGAGTTTTAATTCACTGTGTGGAGTCATTGCTGTACTGCACATCCCTGCCATACGGGGAGCACACAAGATAACAAGATCACCTAGAAGTGGAACAAATGGAAATAACAAAGTGTTAGCAGGGAGGTGGACTGGGGCACTGCAGTTGGACTAAGTAACTATTGACCTTCAGGTGAATAGAGAGCGGGCAGGCTGTTTGCTGAAAGCTATCTCCCATCGTAAAACAGCCATCACAGCTAATGGCACCCTTCAGAGGAAGTCCAGAGTGAGCAGAAGAGACACCCAGTCCAAAGAGCCCTTCTGTGGTGCCTCACCCCGGTCAAAGATCACACACCTTTACAGCGCCCTCCGTGGAGGTGGTACCCGCCCTATTTGTGCTGTACCTTGACCTGACGACCAGAGGATTTGGGTTTGATTAGCTTTTACTTTTAGATAACCTCGTTAGGTGCAGGCTCTGGCCAGAGCTGTTAATGGGGGTGCAGTATCCTTCTGCAGGGCTCACAAGGGATGTGCGGCCCCTCTAAGGGCCCCTCATGCAACGTGGTGAGCCCGCAGCCTGTGACAAGGCATCATGAGTGAAAAGCTGTCCTGTAGCCGTTACCCACCACACCTGCTGCCCTCAGGTGTCCGCGCCTGCTCCCCACCACCGCCCGTGGCCCCATGGCTGTGAGGAAGCCCGAGGCTGCCACCGTCCTCCTGCTTTCCCACTGTTCTGCTGCTCAAGGATACCAATTAAAAGAGCAGGCGTATTTTACTAGTGATAACCAATGTAACAGTGTAATACAGAAAACATGCAGTGAGAAAAAGCAGAATAGTGCACTTAAAGCAGCAAACAGGAAAAAACAGGGTAATGCATTAAATCATTATTACACGAGAGAGAGAATGGAGATTAAGAAAAACACATCACCACTTGCATATATTATCATCATCCAGATCCGCAGTGGCTGGGCAGCCCCGGTCACGCGAGGGTTTGCAGAGCCTGTCCCGGCAAGGGGGAAATCCTACGCGGTGCGTCCACACATAGGTGAGGCTGCCAAAGTCGCTGCAAACGGGCCCAGCCCAGAGATCGGCAGGCCAGAATAGTTGGCATCTCTGTTTTGAGCGGAAAATTTCTGGTTTCATTCTCCTGTTGGATTCCACCCAAAGCCTGGCCAGGGCTCGGGGGGGAAACCAAGGGAGTTTCTAACAAGGCCAAATACCTGGGTTCTCAGTCTTGAAGAAGGCTGAGAAAGGAAAGTTGGATATTTTCTCTCCTCACTCCTGACTATATTTTGTCTAAGCTGCGTCTCTCACTAGCGACTTTACAGACTTTATTAATGAGTACACACTATGTTAGCTTGGGGCCTGTTGTTCAGGCTGCAGTATTTCAATACTTCAGCACTTTTTACATCAGCATAGGTGTGTTGTTATAACTTAGTATAATACATATTAGCACAATGGTTATCAGTTATAAAATATACAGGATTCATCTACAGGTCAGCTCTGGCTTGGGCTTGTTGTCCAAGCCTTAGCACTTCACCCACCCTTGCCATCTCCCTTCACGGCCTCTCCCCGGAGGGGTCACTGGGCCACCCGCAGGGGTGTGGGGCTTTTCGTAGCGCCTCACCTCCGTTGCCCCACAGCCGACACTGAGAAGCGCGGTGGAGGCGGCTCCCTCGTGTCCCGGGTGCCTCGTGGGTGACCCTCGCTGGACATCACTGCGAGGTCACCGGTGGGACACCTAAAGCCTGCAAGCCTTCAGCTGGTTATTGCAGCAGGGAGAAGGGCTCTTGCCAAAACACCAGGTACAAAGAAAGGAATCCTCCCGCACCAGGTTTTGTGCCGCTGTCTGGTTTCCAGGCGTGTGTTTAGAGGAGCTGAGCTCCCTTCCTGTGGTAGCGTGCTGCCTAGGTATTCAGCAGCGTGCGAGGTAAGGGATTTGTCTGTGTGGAAAGTGAGGGAGTTGTAAGAAAACTGTAACTCCAGTGTTAGGGGATGGCAGAGCTTTAATTAGAACGGAGCTGTGTTAGCCAGCCAGAGTCCTAGAAATCATTTGGACTTCAGCATATAGGCCACATACTGGCTGATGCTGGCTGAGAATTAATTTTTTAAACCCCTCATCTATTAGCAAGGAGGGCGTGCACAAAAGGTTTGGTTTGGTTTTGGTTTTCTCTGCGTTTACGACTTCTGAGGTTTCGCCCAACGCGTCGCACAGGTGCGGTGGGCCGCGGCCCGGCCCTCCCCTCCCGGGGTGCTGAGGCCTCCCTCGCTCAGAGCGGGCCCCGGCTCACCAGGCTGCCTGGCGGTGGCCTCTGGGCCGTGGCAGTCGGGTGGCCTGGCTCGCGCGTGGAGGGCTCGCGGCTCCCGATGGACCGGCCGGGTTGTGGAGCAGCCGGTGAGAGCAGGGGCCCGAGTCGGGCCCTGTGTGGTGCTGGGCCTCCCGCCGCAGCTGGGCCCTGACGCTGGGCTTGCCCTGTCCTGGGTGATGATGCTGGTTCTGCTGCTCTTGGCTAAGATTTGACCATGTGTAACATCCCTAAAAACTGTCCTGTATAAATAATCTAGGCTTCACGATGCAATATTTTTAAGATAAAGCTAGTCATCTTTGTGACCTTGTTGCTATAAGAGTTTTAAAAGTGCTTGTGCACATCTGTTAAAACTCAGATAAAGGTGCTTCCAGTTTTACCGGCTGTCAAGCAGTAGAAAAATCAGTCTCTTCAACTTGAAACATTTGATCTGGACTGTACTAGGCTCTGGTATTGCTCACTTTCTGTTTCTCAAATCCTCCTCCCTATTTTCTACTGAGACTTCTTCCTTCTTTCCCCTGGTGACACATCTTTTCTTCTTGCCAAACCTCTTTCTGTCTCGCCCACCAAAACAAACACATCAGAAAAACTTAAAATTATCTTGGCCTAATTTCTTTGTACTGTTGCTGCTATTTATCAGTATGCCTACCTACGCTGTGTCCTAGAAAGTCACACACGTAAAATGAGTAGATCAGAATGTAGTTAGGCTCGTGGTTTAAACTCAGAAATTAAGCAAAAAAGGCCCTGCTTGTAATGTTTGTCTTCCTTCTCCCTCTCCCCTGTTCTGCTTTGCTTTATTTATGCCAGTGGTATTGTAATAAATGCACTATAGGGATGATTTTAAAAAGAGGAGCCTTGTTTGTAACAGTAGGGATGCATAGTCTGTAAATTCTTCAAGCAGATTTTAAGTATATGCATAAATAACAGTAAATACTTAAGAACTGTCTTTTCATTTTGAAATAAATTAAATAGAAAATTGGGGCATATACATGAGTATGCATTGTCTTCCAATAGATTCACATAAAAACATTTGCATTTTTTCTTTAAATGTGCTAACATATTAACGTTATGGTGGTATGTAGGCTCCATTCCACTGAAAGTTATCTCTTAATTATTCTACTGCAAAAAAATTAAAGGCCGTGTCTGCTAATAATATTATGGAACATACATTAAATGATGCTGTCACAAGGCAGAGCTGCCTGCCACCCCAATAACCAGTTTATGGTTACAGCTGTTCTCTAGAACTCTTTGGTTTTCAAGCCACTTTCTATAATTTTACTCTTCTGTATGGTATTTGGAATAAACCCAACCTGTTCTGATAGACCGGAGGTGGACTGATAGTGACTGGGGGCTTCAGCGCTTCACTGGCCTTTTACACAGAACTCTATTTCATCTTCAAGAGGACTGATGCGTATTGCGAGGTGTAAGCAAGGAATGCCCACCTTATCACCCCCCGAGATTGTTACAGCACAGTATTTGTGAAAAACTAGGGTGCTTTGTCTTCCTCTTTCAGCAGAGTAGATCGTGTGGATTTTTAATTGCAAAATTCACGCAGGGTCAACGTGATGCAGTTTATTTCGACACAATATTACATCGTGTGATGTATAGAGGGGTTAGCTGTGGATGAAAAACGATTAGCTGAGACGTCAGAAAGCCAGACAAGTTTGAAAAACTCCGTAAGTGTAAATACATGTGTTTAAGCTTTCAACTTTAGCAAAACATTCTCCTTCTTGGCTTCCTGTTTTGTGTCATTTCTTTAATTGAAGTAAATGTATTTGCAGTAGGCAGGTAACTCATAAACACCATCCTTTACCAGGCTTGATGCTGCTGCTGCACAAACAAGGAAGTAAATGCAGAAAATCCAGATTAGTTGTAATCCCTGGTAGTAACAGGAAAATCTTATCAGTGTGCCAAAGAAAAGCAAAGTCATCTACTTGCAATAAATCACCGATTCACTACATCAAAACAAAGGGAAAGCTGTTTTTCTAGTAAAGCTGTTAAGAATGTTTCATTTAACGATGCATCTCTCCCTCCTGCTGTATGATTTATAATTCAGTAAAGCCTGAATGGTTTTTTTAAAGGACTGTTAGCATTATGCTGCCAGTGCTGCTAACATTATTAAATGATAGGTTAGCATTATGCTGCCTTTACTGTGTTTATTTTTCCTCCTGCGAAGCACTTTGAATGAAACATGCTGGGATCAGAAAACAGTCTGG